AGTCTGAAAATAAAGATAAAAAGATAAAAAGTCAGTACAGTGATATCTCCAATACCACTGATAAAATGACAGCGGAGATCAGTCAAACAGACTAGAGAAGGAGCAGCACTGGTATCAACCCAAAGGAAAATAATTGAGGTTAGGGTGGGCAGTGTTTGTGAAGCCAAGCCTTGGAAAAGATTGCGGTAAGTCATAATTCTCAGTTTTTAAATTTTATTTTCTGTAGTGGAATGCATTTTTAGAATAGTGTTGTGTAAAATAATGCATGTCTTTGTTTTAAATTTGGCTTTTAGGTTTTAAAATTTTTTGTCACAATGCTGTTCGAGGTGAACCTTGAACCTTTCCTGGTTTGAGCAACTACAGGCTGAAGTGGGCACAGCATAGTGAAAATAATCTACATTTTTGTATTTTGTGAATTTGTTCCATCATGGAAAAATGTTAGTTTTGATAAAATTTCAATGTAGATTTCTAGTGATAGCGAAACCACTGGTTGAGGGCATCCAAAGTGCATTCACAGCACTGGGCCGACCATAGCCTACAGGCTACACATAGCACATAATTTGCCCCTTTTGGGCCATTTGGTGGCATGAGCTTATACAAATAACTATGGGAAAAATCACTCCCTTTTTGTGGTCTGTTTTCCTATCCCTTCAACCAAAAGAAAACAAATATAAGTGGTAATGTGTTTGCTCTGTCTTCTTTCTTGGAGTTGGCATTACTTTAACTATTATTCTTTTTCATTCCATTCTTTACAATATACATAATTTGAAGGCAATATGAATATATTGCATTTAAATACTGAATACTTTAGATTGTTCTTATCTATGCCAGAGTGATCTAAATACTTTGTAATAAATACTGTGAGATTGTGTACAGTCATGTACTGCTAAAGTAAAAATTAAAAAAGCTCTCAGGATGAACAAGAAAGCCAAGTTAAGTGCAACATAACTGGTTAGCCAGTTCCAGTAGGTGTCATGCTGGAGTTCCACTTCTTGGCTGTATGTTTGCCTCTAAAGTAGATGCAGAACTAAGCACTCCTGTGGTTAACAATTACAATGTAAAAGAACCATAAAATACACCAGATATGTAATGTTCAACTCATTTTGGGCAGGACTTTCGGGGGGGTTTACGGCTGTAAAAAATGCCCTGCAGTGACACAAACCGCAGGCGCATACTGTAAAGCTCAAAGTCTGATTGTAGCTCGGTGGTAACACAGACAGAAAAAAGGTCAAAAGGCACAAATTACTGGTACGCTGTTACACAGCAACGCAATCAGAGTTTGCAGAGTAAGCAAAATTAAAAATCCTAGCTGGGGTTTGCTGCCACCAGATGTGAACGTCATAAACATTCAAACATTGTTTTGGAAGATAGAAACGAATTATGTAATCAAACACTGACTGCGGCTGGTTCTGCTCATATCTTAATGTACGACAATTACTTGAACTAACTTCCTGTACGTGTAAACAGTGAATGTTAGTTCTCTAAACTTTGATGGAAATGTGGTTCAGCCTAGAAACTCACACTTGGAAATGGTACTAGACTAGGCAGCAGAGAGGTGTGAATGTGGATGTGTCTTGCCAGTAACATTTATAGAAATACAATATATAAAATGTTCTCTGAATTACAAACTGAACTATGAGCAAATTACAGATTCTACCATTTTAAAAATAATAACTAAATATTGTGCTATAACACAATAGAAACGTTTAATAGGAGACAGTTATGGACTGCAGATGGGACATTCAAGCACATGCATCGTATGTCAACAAAGTCACACTATCGTGATGAATGCGAAATGAATGCGCAGTATTTCAAAGTAAGAGTCTGCATCATGCATCTGCATCACACATGTCCATACTAATACATGGGCCTACTGGTTTGGTTTAGTTGGAGAGCTGAGACAAATCCATACTTGCAGAGCCTTTGGTAGATGCTCCTTTTATACCGAAAACTACCACTAGGCAAAAGTTTGACTCAGATGCATTTCATTGATACAGTATTTAATTTATATTGCACAACCCCGTTCAACTGGGTCAATTTAATTGATGTTTATATAATGACTTACAATTACAGCACTAGTATGAGTAATGTAAAATACTTCAAGTCCGACACTAAACAGAATCACTGCCTGAAATCAAGGCTAAAGAGTCTATGAAAGCTCTTTGGACACTGGCAGCAGCTCGGACTCACTAATGAGGATGTTGATTTTGTTGTGATTATAGAGTTGCTGTAACTGTTTGTGGACGTCGCTCAGCTGTGTCCCTCCCTCCCACAGAGGAATATGGACATGACTGCCAATATGGGAATTGAAATGAACTGACATCTAATTAGTCCCTCGTCTTACAATCACAGAGGATTTTTTTTACGCACTTGAAAAGATAAATTAGAATTCTACTGATGGATAGATTGGCCTTATTCATGACTCAGGTTTACAGAAGCTATATTAAAGGATCATTATACAGAATATCATGTTAATTACATTGTGAAAAATGTTGGGAGTCAGAAGTGGCACTTGACGCAATATCCCTCCACATACCGTTGGTGCACGTATTAACAACCGAGTCGAGTATACAGTACATGTGCGTAACAATACACAAAGTCAAAGGCATCAAACAAATTTGAAAATTTCTCACACACAGTGAATTTGAAGATGCACTTAAAAAGCAGCAGAAACAACTCGTACTCCCTCAAAACCTCTTAGTAAAAATGCTAAAAATCTGAGCACTCCCATTATACATAATTTAAGAGAATCTATATTCATAGAAGTGTAGGGCGTGCGGTGCTCAATGGGGTAAAACGCCCCTGTGTGGCTAATGGAATGGCCTGAGTTGCGTGATTGAGTGAAATGTGCTGGAAAGATCGGGAGGAATTTTAGTGCAGATAAATAAAGAGGAGATTGTGCTTTTTACTGGGCGTCAGCATTAATGCAGCATCTCCCCAGGTGATCAACACATTCAAATGGAGATGGAGAGACAGAGGGAAAAAGTGATGGGGGAGACAAAGAGAGGGGGAGACAGATTGGGAGACACAGGGTGAATAAATGAGAAAGAGAGAGCGAGAGAGGACACTTTAAGGAATAGCCCGCCTCAGTTCTACTCCACACGCACAGGGGCCATACTATAACATCTCATATATCATAATAATGTTACCAACGGAAGGTTCAAAGGAAGGGAAAAAAGGGAGTGAAAAAAAATTGGACTTTGCAGATTCAAAGTCAAAATAACCAAGGGACATTATGGAGCTTCTACAGTAGATGACTTGAGAAGGCCAGGCCTGTCACATGTATTTTTTTCTCCTTTCTTCTCTTCTTACCCTCCATAATTTTACGTCAAATGTAAGCAGGCAGTGCTTTCTTTTCACCTTCCATTCGGCACATCCATTACCTTTGGAGAGATGTAAAGTGAACATTTCAATTGGATTGCAATGGCCAGTTAGCACTGCTTTGATCCCCACTCTGCTCTTTGAGGGCTCCATTGTTCCTGATTTGCTGGCTTGATTTGTCTGCCTATGGATAATGGCCGAGGAGCCACGGTCTGGCCTTCTCCCATCAACCCATTTTCTCCCATATGTGAATTACTTTGATATACCCTTAGGTATGGAGTCCTTCCTTCATTCTCAGCCACTATGGACTGAGGTGGACGTACTGCATGTATGGCTGCAGCCGTACTAAATACGTACATGTGGCGCTGAACTACAGCACAGGCTCTTGAATTTAATCTGAGTTTAAAACAGACCAAAACTATAGGTGTTAATTCCCTAGGTACTGTACTCTGGTGCTCAGATGGGATCTGGGAATACTACGGCGTGACTGTTGGGACACACGATACTTTTTCTCATCAATCAACGCCTGACACAGAAACTGGTGGAGGGGTGACTTTGAGCCTGTAGCTCATGTGAACTTTCAGACTGTATGGAATTTAGATTTGTTGTGAAAAATAAAAACCTAAAACAAGTGAATTGTGCTAATGAACAGGTAAAAAAAAATGTGCGGCACATTCAATAATTTCACCCTCCAGTCACTTATGGTTGCTTTAGGACACAGTACATACACATGTCATTTAAACACACTGTTAGAAAGAGTTTTTGTTTCACCAAAGCACACACATAAATTACCATCTGAACGCCCAGCATGTCTTTGCTATGACTTAAACTTCAGGTAGAGCGCTCGTCCTGCGCCAGATTAGCCTCACTGAGTTTAGGGCGCAAGCTAACTGACGAAAAAACAATTAAAATAGGTGAAGACAACTGTGTCACTGAAGTTTTGACAGAAAACTATCAACACAATCTAGAAGAAACCGTCGAGATACACAGTAATGACAATTGACATTTGACATTTTTTCCATATTAACAATTACATTTGTTAAAAATAAAATTAGTTGTAAAACACATAAAGCTACCTGCTGCTATTTGTCTGTTTGTTCCAGCAACGTACAGAATTTTGAACATGATTAATCCACAACTACTCTGTGATTAATCACATTAAACTTTTCGATTGCTTGACAGCCCTGGTTTAAAGAGTAAACTATAAAACTTCACTGTTGTTGGTCCTTCAGCGGTGCTGCGGTTTTATTCCTTTATGTTCCATGTGCTCATAAATGGCCTTAAAATGAAAACATTTGTGTGAAAAGTGAATATTTCACTCACCACTTGTATCTCACAGATCCTTAAACATCAATTTCAATTTTCGTTAAGGTGTTGGAATCTTTCTCAATCGTAGGAATTTAATATCTGTATTTTTTAAATATATTTTTTTCTTGAGGTCTTGAAGGTAGCCATTGACCAGCTTCACTCTCATTTACACATTTGACTGTGTGGGCGAGGGTCTGAAACAGCCCTCACAAGGTCCCCGCCGCTTTCTGACGCTTTTAACGACCTACCTTGGGAAGTAAAATCATCTTGGGTAAAGAGAGAATGCAGAGAGAATTTGCTCAAGTGTCTGGTCTCCTCCCAGATACAAATGAACAATTTGTTTTCCATTTCTTTCCAAACCTTCATCTTAGGCCTTCTACTTTGAAGTGGGGAGAGGACGGGGAGGTGAGGAGAAGGAGAAAAGGGGGCTGCAGATTGTACGATAGTGTGTTTGTCTTCAAAGAGTCCCGACTTGCTTACAAATGCACTGGTGAGTACAACACCTTCAAGGTGAAATTGATAAATCTGGCGCTACGCTCTTTCATGACAGTAATAAGCAGAATGTGTCGGAAAGAGTTCATGTGTTATTTTATTATTTAATGCAAAAAAAAAAAAAAAAAAGGAAAAGTTCTTAAAAATGACCACAGGTCGACGATTACATCCATGAACATCAACAACATCCAACCTGACGGCTGATCACACTGTTTCACAGCCTCCGTCCTTAGAAACATTCACTGCTCGGCCTTTGATCACCACTAAAGTTAGCCATCTTCAATGAATTTCATATTTCTAAAATATCCACAAGGTTTCTTCAAACTTATCACATTTCCTTTACATATCAAACACATGCGCCCGTCGCAGCCATTCAGAGATTTTCCACAGACACCGGCCCAGTGCAAATAAACAAGCCATGAGGAAAATAAAACATAGAAAAGACAGAGAGGAAAGGCAGAAATCTCATCAATTGTCCATCTGCTAGATGGCATCCTTTGTACCCTCTCTGTCATTTCTGTTTCATCTGCCGGGATGGACAGAATCTTTCCTCTCTCTCACGCTGGGATGACTGCTTCACTTCAGTCCCTGGAGACACTTTTTTCCTCTGTCTCTCTGGCTTCTCTTCTCTCAGTGGCTGTTATTTTCCTGAAACTTTATGAATTAGTTACAACCTTTTTAAAAAAAACTCAACCACCTCACTTCAGGTTTTAGTTCTTCCTCATCTCAACCTGGATGTGGAGCCAACATCTGCCTCTAGACAGGCCGTCCATCTATTTGTCTGTCTGTGCACCTACTTTTCTTTTTTTACTTTTACATATCTATATTTCTATATATCTCCACACATATAGACGGTATGTTTGCATGTGTGTGTTGTCCAAATCCTTTGTGACCGCTTTCCTGAACCCAAACCCTCACTGCACGGGGGAAATGGCGGACTGTGGCAACGACAGGGCAGTTTTACAGTGCACCGGGCTGAATGTTAAACTTATATTTAATGTATGACATTTCACACAAATCATTCGGCCACAGACATGACCCTGGGGTATTCCGCAGATTGCTTTTTCAGTGCCTCAGCAACTGTGGAATTATTCGTCCCAGAGAGAGAGAGGGAGAGAGGGAGAGAGGGAGAGCGAGAGAGGAGCAGAAAAAAGCTTTTGAGTTTAGTGAAATGATCGCCCTCTCGCTGCTCTGGCCATCCCAGACTGGAAGCTCTCTTTTTTTTCTCTCTCTCTGTGATATCATGATCGCAGGGCTGTGCCAAATTGAAAACATCTTGGCAGTCTGGAGGCTGTATGAAATAACCATATATTATGTGTAGTATAACACCCGATTGGATAGCAAAACAATTATGCTGTTTTGCAGTCTCCAAACAATCCCCGTGCCCCTTTCAACTTTCCACACCCTTCATTTCGAAGAAGAAAATCTTCTGAGGCGAGTGTGAAAATTATTTCAGATTTGCAAATTGGAGTTGGATTTGAACAACTAGAACCCTCCCTAAATCTTGTCTGATTTGAATGAGTCTTCAGCAGTTCACAGCAGTATCTGCGTACTCTGGCTCGGACATCTGTACGCATTTAGAAAAACGCTGTTAATATCTCATATTCAATTCCCCTCGGTGTGGCATTTTTCAGCCAACATGATATGGAAATGGTGGCAGCCACAGTAAGAGTTCATGAATACACAGTGAACAGGGCCCTCGTGTTCCCAAAACACTGCAGTGACTAAAATGAATATATTTTTGTCCCTGTCCCTTTTGCTTCTAGGGCAAGATTTACAATTTTTGGGAAAAAAAAAAGAAAAAGTAAAATGTCCCCATTGTCTTAGACGTCTTGTTGTCAGCTCTGCAAAACAAAGCTCTCTCACCAGTGGACGGGGCGGATGGGTCATCCATTTTATGTGAGGGGACATTTTTCAACATTTAGGTTTAAATGTGAGAGGTGTGCCGTCCACTACATCAGTGTCACTCTCTCTTTTCAAGGTTAGACGGTAGACAGGGGATTTAAGGTGCATCAGGCTGCAGCTAAAAATGAAAACGCAAACGGATCATTTTAAACAAAATGAATCATATGGAATAGCCAACAAGTATTTTTATGTTTTTTTTTATCTAGTTGAGGGCAAGAACACAAACAAGCCTTGGAAGGTTGAAAAAAAAAACTAAAATGTTCTGAGAAATTTAAACTTAATTATGTCGTTGGGCTTTAAAGTTATAGCATAATGTGCAACACGACAAACAAGTGTGTGTGTTTCAGTCAGCATCAGAAATAAGAGGATTCAATTGTGTTTAATTATAAAGAATCATTTCCATAGAGTAGCAAATGAGGGGAAAAAAATAACATCATGGATACACATACACACAACTATAATTCATTCTTCCCCTCTCTCTCTCTCGCTCTCTCTCTCTCTCTCTCACACACACACACACACACACACACACAGATATATTAACACTTTAAGTCACAACCACAGTCAACAGCATAATTATCAGTTTCCCCTTAGGGTGTTAGGAAACCTGTTCCTAATTGGAGCCCAGTTGGGACTTTACATGGATTAAAATACATGAGGCTTCTGCAACAGTCACACACACTCGCATAGACACAAAAACAGAAGAAATAAGTTGGCAACGTTTCCAACTAAATTTATGCTAAATCGGGCATGATTCCCGTGTCTCCCGACACATGGGTCGGGCACAACAACGCCGTCTCCAAAGCACAATTACACTATATTTTCCCCCTGTTTTGTAATCTGTTTTTCTTTATTTTTGTTCCATTTCCCTGACTTAAGCTGTTGTCTAATGGACAGCATCGTGACAGAAAGGAGTTTGGTATCAGATTGAAGCCGGTTGCCCTTTTTGCCAATTTGCGAGCAGCCTCTGCTGTACTTGTAAGATGGCCAATTAGCTGACCGTCTGACAGAGGCTCTCTGACTGTGGCTATTAAAACACACACACACACACGGAAGGGTTAGAAACACACACACGCTTGTGTTCACATTTATACACACCTTACACAGTACAGCGTTGCCTCTGACTGTCCATCTCTATCAAGATGTTTTTGCAAGAAACACGTCTGGGCCTCACCCCTCACCTTGTGCACACAATTAAAACACACACCACACACACATACATATCTACACATACACACAAACACACCTTCATTTTCTCATAAAAAAGGATGCAGTGCTCCCTGACCTCACCCCCTCACAAACACCCCCACCGGTTCTTCCTCCAATCTCGCTCTCTTTTTTTTTCTCACCTCCTTGCCAGTTTTTTTTTTTTACAACTCCACCTCCACCTGCCTACCGTCTCATCGTGTTAACTCCACTCACACTCCACCTTTCTCCTTCTGTTTTCATGTTATATAATTTTTTTTTTAATTAAAACTTTTCTTGCCTACCTCTTATTATTTCTGCCAAAAAAGCAGAAAATGTAATAATATATAATAAATAAAAGTATAATATAAACATGGAATAAAATGCTGCAATGAAATTTCTAATCTCAGAAATAGCATAATAATTATAGTAATAATAGATTTTCAGCGATTATATGAAAATGTGTTAGTGAATCAATATTAAAAGCCAGCAAAGAAGCAGGAAAAAAAAACAATATAAAAATCAAGAACAAAAACAAAAAAAAAAAAAACACTACAATACCAGGAACACTCTGGAGACACTTTCCACAGAGCAACTCAACTCCTGACCCCCCAAAGCACACAAACACACACACACACACACACATGCAGCACACGCTCTCGCTCATGTCCATCAGATTTTGTTGTACAGTAAGCTTCAATCTCTGTCCCGTCTCATCTCCTTCCACACACAGGTTAGAGGGTCTCTAAAAAACACACGGGGCGCTGTGTCTGTGGGTGAGGTCAACAGTTCCCCGGGACTATAAAAGCAGCAGGCACCGACACCTGCAGGTGCGTACACACTGTGCACCAGCCATAAATGGACACATCGTCATAAGTCATGAGGAGCGTACGAGGAGCAAAAACATGTGGAGGACTGTACAACCCCAGATGTGAGAAATATATAAAGTATACATATATATATATATTATTTACACACACACTAACACACTCTTCTCGACGCACCTGCTACTTTACGGTATTGTCAGCCTCAGTCAAAATGGTGGCCACAATAACAGCGGGCTTAGCTTTGATTCCTAATATGGAGGAAACAATTCTATTTTTCTGTGGGGCTGCTGATAGTGAGAGATAAAATTCACCTCTCTGCCTCCCTCCCTCTCCTCCCTCACAGACTGACCCTCTCTTTCACACACACACACAGCCCTTTATATATATATATATATATTTCTGTCTTGTCACCCGGACCTTACAGTGTGTGTCAGTTTTTGCAGAAACACGAAGAGAAGGTAAAAGAGGCTGAGGCTGTGACAGACGTTTCCTAAAACATGGCACTTTTTCCAAACATAAGGAGAAAAAAAAAGTCATCTTGTGCAATCAAATTACAGTAGAGAAATACATTTTCTTAATGCGAGCAGAAATATGCCAACATTAATTCCTGCTCCTGTGTATGTTTGAAATGAAATCAATTGTATCAAAATGACACAGGAAGTTAATATATTTGAATAGAATTAAAGAAATGTAATATTTTCACATGCTGCAGAACAAAATGAAGCCAAAGAAAAAAAAACCTATGTTCTGCTCTGCTTAGAATTATTTGCAATGTAAATGCAATCTGCATGTCTATCTGCTTTTATTTCTAATTAATTTCCCTCCAAATCTTTAGAGATTATTTCCGGCCCAGAATTAACACAAAAGAACTTTGTGCCTCAGTTCTCTCACCAGTGATAATTATAAACTTAACAGGCTTTGCTAATTTAAAAATGCTATCTGCATGACATCAAATATACATCTTTGATCTGACTCTGTCCCTGATGGTTAAATGCCTTTAATTATATTCCAAAAAAAATTAACTTTTCCCGAATAATTAACTGACTCTTTTGAATTTGAATAATTTTCATGCTTAATTAATTCCAGTGACAAACAAACTCCCAGTACACACAGATATGCACATTATTACACAAATGTGCAGAAAATCCATCAAAACAATAGACTGGAGGGAGCTTCCTCTATGATATTGTCTTTATGCAATCTGCACAAATGGCGCAATTGACTCCCCACCACACACACATCCATGACTTCTACTTGGAGCAATTTCCCTAAGTCTCTGTATACCATGAACCTTAATACTTATACACAGTAAAAATTGCACAAAGCACACATATGACCCACATGTGTTCTTGACGATCAGGGGAGACCTTCTCCATATCTCATTATATTCCCCTATAGCATATCAGCATCTCCCTAGGTGAACGTGTATACATACAGAGGGAAAGGCAGAAAGAGTCACATGATTCATATTATCTTTATCACCCGGCTACAGGAGCTGGACTGCCTCTCCTCTTACCATTCCTCCTCCCCATTATGTAAAACTATGGATTAGGTTTGGTGTGTGCATGAATCCAGCACTCAGAGGTGTGTGTTTATATGCATACATATACGTGTGTGTGACGTTAAAGAGTGCATTTGAGAGGATAGCGGGGTGTATACAGCTACATCCATGCATGCATGTATGCAACCATGCAGAGACCCCCCTCTCCCTCCCCTTCCCTCTTCTCTCTCTCTCTCTGCTGTTCTCTCTCTCTCTCTCCATCTATCATGCATCCATAGGTCTATCAGCTTTGGGAATGAGGTGTGGAGACGAGGGGGCGGGGTAGAAAGGGTGAGGGGTACATGAGGGGGAAGAGAAATAAATTTAGCCCCCCTACTTTAAAAATGCACATACATTTCCATACATTGCTAAGGCGGCGAGGTGCCCACACCCCTCGCTGCTGTATCCCCAATATCAGCCCCCACCCCTCCTCACACACACACACACCAAAACACAAAATAGAGCAAAGATGAATGTGTACGTCCCGTTCAGTGAGTGTGGGTGAAAATCTAGCCCCTGCTATATTTATCTTCATAAGAGCAGAAGGTGCATGTGTGTTTGTCCGCACCACACACACACACACACACACACACACACCAGTTGGTTACTGTAGTCCACGTCCACGTGTGTGGGTGTGTGTGTTCACAAGTTCATTTACCTTACATGAAGAAAAACGTCCTGCAGTATAAATAATAAAAACAAGTCAACAACAACAACGGGAAACCCCCCCCCCAAACAACATAGATTTTCGTGACACTGCCATGAAAGACTTGCAGGACGTACAATTCACAATTGAGCGATTCATTCAAGGGAAACATCTCAGGAGGGACGTGTCAGGAGTGTACCTTCACGCTAAATTTACAATCTTCAAACTACTCCCTTCTTCCATTTCCATACCAAAATTTGTTTGATGCTTGCATTCTAAATAGTTTATAATGCATTTGCCGTCTGTCATGTTGCCATGCTCTCAGATAGAAAAACAACAAGCGGAACCTTTCTCAAAAAGCAGCCAAAACAGCCACCGCTTGTAGATAATGACGGCCTGTCGCGGGAGAGGAGAGAGAAACACGGGTGTGGTATATTTAAGTGATACTAGTTTGTTCGGGAGAAGTGTTTTTTGGCTTTTAAAAAGTTCCATTTTGCACTCCTCAGGTGCGGCATGTGAGGTACCCCAGGGAGGTATGCATTTTTGTGTGTGTGTGCGTGTGTATTTGAGTGTGTGTTTATGCGTATGTGTGTCAGCTGCATTATCTGTGTGTACTCTAAAATATTCCGACTGAGCTGTCTCGCAGCTCACAGAAGCAAGAAGATGTGTCCTGTCTCCTGCATTCTAATGTGAGTGGGTTTTGGAGAGCAAAAGTAAACAGATATGCTTGCTTGAACACACACATGAAAATGCGTGTAAGCGCACACCTGCTGCCTCGACACGTATGCACGCACGCACAGCCACACACCAAGACCGTATGAATATCAGCTTAGCATATGTGAACATGACACGTGTGCGCGTTTCGCCATTTGCCGTGGGTTCGTCTTTGCACCAATCTGCCCATCAAGCTCATCAGGAGTTAGTTTCGGCCACGCCGACCAACACGACAGTGGCTGCCCGTGATAAATATTCAGGAAGGGAATATTTATCACAGGACAATCAGGAGAATCTAGTCACGGTGAAGGTGGGCTTGTACAACAGCAACCTGAACCAGTGCAGGTCGGTGCACTCGGTGCTTTTTCATATCACACCTGGAGTATGTGACCTGTAACACAAGACAGTCCAAGACAATGAGCTGCCCGGTTGCCAGGGGGCGTTAGCTGACAGTGCGTTATGGCAGGAGGCAGGAGGGATCAGTAGAGGTCGAGTCAAAAGGGTGGGACGGCGCCCTTCAAACAAAATATTAGCCTTTAAAAGTAAGTCTTGCCAATGGAATGATCCTGATCTACCAAGCTACCGCATTTTCCCTCCGACTCCTCTTCAATCCCCAGGACCCATCTTCACTTCCCTCTTACTCACCCAATCCGTTCACACACACAGATGTGTTGTCTGTCAAGGCTATGATGATAAATTAGCGCGAGTGCTGCTGGCGAAATAGGAGCTGGTGTCTGGAGTACAGAGGCGATCCAGTGGACAATGCCAGGGATGAACCAGTGATAGTTCAGCTGTGGCTGAATGATCAGCCTGGGGAAATGCTTTGGATGAGACTGAGGCCCAGATTTGTTTCCATCACTGTTGACGGATAAATGTAAGGAGGAATACGATAATCAAAAAAAAGTTTAAAATGATATATATATATATATATATATATACTCACGCATAAATATATATATATATATATATATATATATAATGAGAAAGAAGTTTGGTTTAATTTATCAATCGGAATAGAATTAGCAACTATATTAAAATATTGAAAAAAATTCAAAGACACTCACAACCTGATTAATTTAATATAAATATAAAGTAATAAATAAATAGTTTTTCATCAAAAGGCGGGGAATTAAATGCAATGTTCACATTTTACACTTATTATTTATTTTATTTTGTATTTATCATTAATTAAAATGTGCATTCTTAAATGTTTATAGTTTCATTCATTACGTAAGTTTTTGTCCAGTTTGAATGTTGAGAGGTTTTCAGGAGTGTGAGGATGTTTTCAGGTTCACCATTTAAATATTTGGTCTGGAGTTATCAGAATAAAGGCCAGATTTAAGATGAGGATCAGGCATATATTTATAACAGTTTAGGTAAGAACCTCGAAGATACTTTATGTCTGTGTGAAGTGTGTGGGAGAGAGAGAGCTAGAGAGAGCTAGAGAGCTAGAGAGAGAAGGGGGGGCTGAGGGGTGGCAGGTTTGGTTGTGGGGGCTGCATGCCAATGTTGCTCTTCTTTTTGTGAGTGTGATTTTTGTTTTTGTACCTGCAGGCTTTGGTTTGTGTGTGTGCATGCATTTCTGTGTGCGAACAGACATGTGTTTCTCATGAAGGCCCATGCCGGGCAAATTAATTCTCAGAAGTTACGTGGCGGGGGCTCTCCTTCCCTTTGAAATGGGGCATACTGCTCCTTGTAATCAATAAGTCAAGCCATCTCGGCCGCATGTTGCAACCCCCCGGCACACAGATGAAGAAGCCCAATTTACCCATCATAAATTCTGATTCCCACAATAAATATGAGAGGAGGTCCCACGGTATTAGAATATCTAGAATCTCAGGGGTGTTTGAAATACCGACTGGCCCCTGCCTCGGCCTGGAGTTGCTTTGTTGTTTAGAATATAGGCTTTGTGTTGAATAGTAATGATCCAGAGATCCAAGGACAGGAGTATTTATTTGTGATGTGAAGGAAAAGAATCTGAAGTCACTCTTGTTGAGTTATGAAACACTTTATGCTATACCTAAAAACTGGCTGCAAATATATATTTTACCAATTCTGGTTAAAAAATTGTATTTAAATTTTTCATTTTTCCAAATTTTTCAAATTGCTGCATTTTTTTAAAGCAACTCAATTCAGGCCACGCTTGGCCAGGAGTGATGAGTGCAGGCAGAGGTATGTGACATTAGGGACACATTAATGGACAAGTGCTGTGTCTACTTTTGAAACGCTCACTGCTTGACACTCTAAGCACATGACAGTGACCCCAGGAGGAGACAGTGTGACTAAAATGTAACACACCCACATAAAGTAGAAAGGCACGGAGGCGGCGTCCAAACATGGGGTTGTTTAACCGACAGCAGTGCAGATATACTTGGTGCTTAAGTAGGTGTATCTGTTGTCAATCACTGTATGCAAAGCCACCTGTTTTTACAGCACGAGTGTATTTAGTGTAATCGCATCTGCACTCACATCTGCACAAGAGCGCAAACATAATTTAATGCAACAGGGCATCTCCAACACTGGTGGCGTTTTATCTGTCTTCCTTTTTTGGCAGGGGCCTCCTCCTCCTCTCCCGAGCAGTTCCGTTGTTACATGACATTTATGGGGCTCCCGTGAACCCTGATGCATGTTACCCAGACAACTGAGACAGGCTGAGCGCCATGACAATAAAACGCCAAATTCTGTCATGGCCAAATGTGAGTGGCCTGCTGCCAACATGGCAGATTAAATTGTCCAGGAAAGAGCAAAGTCTCTTTTATTTTTACACAGGAAAGCCTTATTTCATTTGATGAGGAAAGAAGAGAGGAGTGAGATAATATGAAGGAAGGACAATGGTGGGACTGAAGCAGCAGGGTGAACACTGGCAAACTGGAGGAGAGAGTAGTTTTCCCTGCTAGTCAATACAGCTGTCTTCATTTGTAAGGCAGTGCTAAGAGCACTAATTCCTGACCTGTTAGTTACATCTCAGAAGAGGGAGAGCCGTGTCAGGTGCTAATCCATAAGTCTGCAGCTAAGTGGTTCATCAGCCGCTGTCTCAGATCGAATGTCACCAATTAAGATGCCTTAATGCCGGGCTAATTGTACTCAAAGTGTAGCGCTCTGTCTCTCACATGATCACACACATGATTACAGGCCAAACAGGCACACACACACACACACACACACACACACGTAACACACTCGCACTTAGAGAACTACAGAGACATTACTACTGTGAGACCTGACAACGTGAAAGCAGCTGTAAGTATAGCCAGGAACGCAGGCTTTGATTGGCAAAACAATTTACCCACATGGTCGCGTTATTAGTAATTACCATCAAACAGGTTTTAACCTGATTGAACAATAATCAACAACAATTTAAATGAAACAAAGCAAAGCTGAAATGACATGAAAATTAAACGATGGGCTAATGATTTTTGCAGATTAATCAGATGTAAATTTTTTTAAGAATGATGCGCACAGTTCATCCAAAAGTTCCACCGTCTATCTGCCTATTATTGCATGTTACTCAATAATAATTCCGTTATTTAATTAGTCACCAAATACAGGTGTAAAAGTTAGTTTTCTTTCTTTTTCAGCATTAATCCAGAGTTTTACATTTTAATTTTAAGTTACGTCTTAATTTTATAGTTTTACAAATTACATTTAAAGTTACGTCTTAATTTTATAGTTTTACATTTTATGTTAAACTTTTACAATGATTTGTTGTAGGACTTGTTGAAACTATTGTATTATCTCTGCAGCAAATATACACACTTACAAGTGTGTGTTTGAAGGTGGAGACATGCTGTGAAGAATGAGAGCAGATAGCATCTGCCTCTCCCTGCCTCGGCCCACAGGTCTGTGTTCAGAGCAAAGCGAATTGTGTCTGAAAGAGGATGATACCCATCGGAATGTTAATGTTGCTGAATATTTCAGAGGTGGGATCATCACATGGCAGGAGGAGGGCAGGCGGGCGGGTTTCCCGAAAGCGTTTAGTGGTCGAAGTTCCTCTCTGTTATTGTAAACCCAAAGTCAAAGATGATTTCAATGCGCAGCTAACAAGGTCCAGTTGCCGTCGAGGAGGAGACTGACTCTGCCTCTCTCTTCTTCCACAGCATACTGAACACATAGCTGCAGTGTCTGATGGTTTGGAAAATGCACACACACACACACACACACAAATTATTTTTTCGAGCGCAAATTATATGTACACAAATCATCTGTTTCCAGAAAGTAGTTAGCATACTTCCCAAAAGTGACATAAAAAACAAAAACAACACAACTGCTAAGTAATTTATAAATCTTAATCTTTGACAAGAGAAAGTATAAAAAAGGATGTGCTCTGTTGCTTATGACATATTTGATCTTTTTTTAAAAAAAAAACAAACTAAATCAACATTTAAGGCCTGGAAAACAGAACTGTAGAACTGTAGAGATAAAAAAAACCCTAAAATACAAGTTCATTTGGTTCACTAAATCTGCAAGTTGACAGATTTTAATGTAAAATCTGAGTATAAAAGGAACATCTACCAAGGGCTTGGTCCAAGCATGTGTTGTGGCTCACTACTGTAGTCTGACATGCTGATGGTAATTGTCAACTGTCAACTGGAAAACAGTGCGTTTGAGGTTAATGATGTTTGGGGAAAAAAAACAGTCACTAATGATGTTGTAATCAGCATCAGCAGACAAAGAACGGTGGAGAACTGTCTTTTTGAGTTCAAACTATTTTTTCCAGATTTCACAGTTTCATCCCAGAATCCAAAAACAGCCAGGGCTAGGTTAATGGGTCAATAAATATCCATAGGTGTTTATGTGAGTGTGAATCTACATATGGCCCAGTGATGGACTGGTGAACAGTCCAAGGTTTTGTCTTGGCCCACTCCAAATAACTGTCAGAATCAACGGAGTGTCTAAAGTCAATCACAGATATATAAAATATAAGAATAGCCAATATTTGGCTTATCTGGCTGTGGGGTCAATAAGTTCTGACTGAAGGGGAACTAAACTGAAATGCCCCTGTCCCTCTCTCTCTGTAGGAAGGCAGAACGACTGTATTTACATCACATTTGTATTTAAAGAAAAACAAATTAATGCGATTCACTGGTAAATGTGTTTTTTCTGCTGCAAGTACGAATCCCAACATTAGCTTTTGTGTATAAAAAAGTTAAAAACACAGATTTTTTGTGTCTCAGGTTGTTATTTATAGTGCCTTCTTCTTCAAAAGTACCAAAAAAAGTCTTTAAGTAACTGCTATTCCTTGTGGCTCTTTTACGGTGTCATAATGAAATATCCTCTAACATTACACATATGGTAAATCCAGTTACCATAGCTATATGACATAAGTAGTTCTTAGATTTTTTTTCTAAAGCCGGACAGAAGAATCATGGGAGCCATAAAAAACAAGGGGATTGCCCCAACAGTCCTTATAAACATCTGGTGACCACTAGGCTACCTTTATGTCAGCCAAAATGACTGCCTGTGAGAGAGGAGAAGAGGAGGGAAATGTTCGAGAAATGTTATTTTTCCTACTAAAGTTAAATCTGAAGTTATTTCGGGAAGGGGGATGCGGGGGGAGATAAAGGTAAAGGAAGGAGCAAGGAAAGGGGGACAGGCGTCTAAAATTAAGGAAATTATTGCATGCTCCCAGATGTGAGCGGGGAGAACGACCTGGGAAAGGCAAAGTTGTCCCCCATCAATCATTCCCATATGCTTCCAGAGAAATGGATCCTTCAGGACACTTCATATTCCTCTTTCTGATTAGTTCATTTCAGAGATGAAGACGGCGGTGGAGGGAAAAAGGGGACGGTGGGTCGGGTGTAACCCAAGAACAGAGGGGGTTCAATGTCAAAATTAAGGCCTGTTATTTAAGACTTCAGGGATCGGTCTCTTCCTCACTATCCTTTTTTTCTTCTCTCCCCACCTGTGCTCCATCTTTTCTTTCAGAGGTTGGTGTCAGGGAGCGATAGAACCGAGGCAATGTGTTCTTAACTCTGATCAAAGGGAGGAGAAAGGAGAGCTTTTCTAATGACTGGCATTCCCTCTCCTTTCTTAATCCATCGCTCCTCTCTCCTTCCCGTCTCCCGTCTTTCCCCGCTCTCCTCACTTGCCTTCCTCTCTCAGGGCATTGGTAATTATCGGTGAGGTCTTAGTGACTGCAAATGAAATTACCATTTAAGAGAGAGGGAGAAAGAGACATCCCCTTTGCCATAGCAGAGGGCTTAAGTGAGGCGGCTAGGGTTTCAGCTATTGATTTTTAAACTGCTACATCAGAGGGTGTAATGCTTTCATAATTTCAAATAAACTGTCTGGTTACAAAGTACTAATGAGAGAAAAAGTGAGAGCAGGACGAACAAAGTAAAAGAAGGAGGAGGATGAATGTGAGGCGCTGACGTTCACGTGAGGAAATCAAACCGGGCTGCAGAAATCTGTCAATAATGTTACAGCAACTGCTCGGTTCCACCATCACTGTGATGTGTTTTAAATAAATGATGAGTTTTAACTTGACGGACTCTGTGTGGTGTTAAACAATCCCTACAGATATGCACAGTGTTTCAGTCCACGGTGATGGAACGCAAAAGACAATGAAGATGAGAGTATGAGAAGGACAACGTTTTTTTGGATGACACTGCATAAACTCAAATCTCTTTTCTTTCTGCTTCCTCTCCCTCTCTCTCTCCCTCTCTCTCTCTCTCACCACAGACCGCAGGCCGTTGGAGGCAGCTTAGAAATCTCTTACATCTGGAAGAGCCATAATTCATGGGATTTGGCCTGACAGCCATGACAGGCATTGGGGCGGCCAGCAACAACTGTCTCCTGTGTTAGCGGCAGCAGCATTGTGTGTGTGTGTGTCTACGTGTGTGTGTGTGTGTGTGAAAGTGAGAAACAAAGAGTGACAATATCCACTACAGTATGTGTACAGTGAGCATGAAACTTTTATTTATGCAGTGAACTTGTGGAGATTAGACCCTGCTGAATGAGGTTTGCTCAACTTTTTATTTGTTGAACTAACTTTGGACATGTGTTCCGGCCTGTGTGTAGGCTGTGTTTATGGTAATACATTCATAGCACAGTTGTGAAAAAAGGGAGTGAGTACATTTGCTCAATTTTATACTTCAACTTTTGCTCAGAACTGTGGCAGTTTTTTTTTTCCCAAGTGCGGTGCAGAAACTCAGCCTTTGGCTGTGCTTCAATTTCCTCTCTGGGACTTTATTTTTGTGCAATGCATATGCGCAAAAAAAAATATATATAATTACCTGTGTATTTAAACTAGAATTGTATTATGCAAGTATTTCAAATTTGTTAAAAATGTATTTGATTAATTCCTTTGCTGTAAGTATATTTTTTATTACCAAGAATTAAAAAAAATTCTATAATTTTTTTTTATTTTGGATATTTATTTAGGATGTTTTTTTGTCACATGTATCATTACTACAGAATTTAAAAAAGCTGTTTTGCGGTAGTGTTTTTGTGACAAAACTATTTTTATAGATGACATTTCGCGGATGATATTACACAAACATCCCACACAGTGAACAAATGTTTCTGCGTTTTTGTTTCAACATTTGTAATCGCGGGCGTAAACAGCAGAAAAGACAGTGCCGTCCATGTGTTTCATGGCGTGCCAGAGGCTCCCTGTGTCGGCCCCAAATATTACACACAGACAGTAGCTATCGCTTCCAAGCCCAAAATCCCACATTCCACATTCCTGATTCCAGTGGCTCGCTCGCTAAGCTGGCCACCACATGAAGAGCCATTGTTAGAGAGAGAGAGAGAGAGAGAGAAAGAGAGAGAGAGAGGGGTCATGTATCTTTTTAGCTGTCTGTCTGTCTGTCTGTCTCTCCGTCTGCTGCTCTCCTTCCCTCTCTCCGTTTGTTCCCCCGCCCATATGTCTTACTGTCACAGCCTCCATCTACGACCGCTCCGTCTCCCTTTCAGTTCCTGCTTCTACCGCTTTACCTTTTTTTTTTCGTTCTCTCCTACCACTCAGATTTATTTTACCTAGCACTTTCGTATTTCTTTCAACGCCGTGCTCAGCCTCGTCTCCCACTGATGCCGTTTCCCTCTGGCCCTCACTCACTTTTACTTTTTTTTTCGACTCTTTTCTAACTTTCTTGCTTCTATTCCTTTGTCTCTCCCTTTTTTGGATCCTGCTGTCTGTCTCTTCGTCCCCCCTCTCTCCAGATATTCATGCAGAGATTTTCTCACATGTGAGATATAGATTTATGACCACAGCCAGATCCCCGTGGCCACTAAATTTGATACCATCCACTAAGCCACATTGTTTTCTTGTGTGTTTGGGCCTGTCTGTTGTGTGTGACTCTGGATAAGTATGGGTGTGTGTGTGTGTTAGTGTGTGTTCATGCATTACAAGGTGGAGGCGGGTGACTTTTAAAGGGTTAGGTTGGGTACGGTAGGTGCAGAGAAGGAATTTACAGTTTATTGAAGCAAAAGCTCTGTGTGTGTGAGAGAGTGTGTGTTAAAAGAGAGAGAGAGAGAGAGAGAGAGAGGGGGGGGGGAGGGGGGGGGGGGGGGGGGGGGGGAGAGTGCCTGTGGTGCCAGCTGACCAGGCTAACCTCTTGGCTGATGTTTTGGATTTAGCCTTTGGATAGTGGTGAAAAATAAAAATGGAATGCTTTTTCAATTACAGATCAGAAAGAGAGTGAACAAAGGCAGAAGTTAAAAAAAAAAAGATGAGTTACTGGGATCTTACATATCCAAGGTTTCTCCGGGGGCACATTCTTAAAATCTGAGTGCATTAATTTTGACTTTCAGAACATTTTCTGCTCTTGAACATTTTGAAAAGTTTTTTTTTTTAAATAGGTTTTTTATGATGCTCTGGTGCGGAAAACACATGAACAACAAAATGCCAAAACGCTTTTGTTTTCTCCTGCATTTTGCTGTCAGTGAGTTCTAAAAAAGAAATTCTCACACATGCATGTGACAAAACAGATGAAGACACGGACTGACACCTGTGGATGACAGCTTTTGTTTTAAAATTCTGACACTCCCTGGTTTAAAGACAAGCGTCCTCTGCCATGCATATTTTATTGGTTGTTTGTGGAATTTGTTGTGTATTTATGTCTGTGTGTTCTCCCCCCCCCCGACCCCCCCGTTCTGTCAAGCCGTTCCACAAGTTGTCAATGGTGGAGCATTTAAAAACGGCATTGTCGAGTTCTGAGAATTGTAATATCGTTGTTTGTCGGTGTGATGTGAATCTGTATTCGCCTTTTGATGTCTGGTGAGGAGGAAATAAAAAAATAAAATAAAGAAATAAATCAAATAAAAGCATTGTGAGATGAAGGTGTGTTTCTGCACATGTTTGAGCCTGTGTGTACATCTGCTGTGTGAAACAGTTTATCTGTCAATCAAACTTGCACGTTGTTTGCGCTGGTGCACATGGTGTGAGTGTATTCAGGAATCTTCTGTGTGTGTGTGTGAGTGTGTCCACATTCAGAACTAAAAGCCATATCTGGCTTCAGATCAAATGGTGTATGAAGGAGCGGAATGGCAGGGGGAGAGAGTGATAGCACTTTATTGTTAGCTATCTACTCTCAAACTCAAATAAAAGACTAGGAATGCATAGGATTTGAAAGTGTTTTAGTGGAATGGGACGTGGGGGGGTGGGGGGGGCTCAACAAAAGAAAAACGACGGGGTAAATTGGATGGAAGGAACACAGAAAGCTGTGAAACAGATTGTGATCTTTATTGTCTGTTGTGCATTTGTGCATGTCAAAAACAATGATGTTGTTTCTGACTCAAACAAACTCCTCTAACTCGCATCCATTTGAATTTTCTCATTTTGAAAATGTCTAAACTTTTACCCTCATGTTCCGTTAGCTTTCTCCTTGATTCCACCCTATGATCTGATCAAAGGTCTCCGTCCACATGTAATTCCTATTGAGGTTAGTTAGTTTTTCTACTGAAGTTATTTCAATAAGTCAGTATAATTTCTCCACTTGCAAAAACCTTGTGGGAAAATTACAGTTTTACAAATATACATTTTTTTCTCATATTATTTTTACAGTTAAATGGATGAAAATATTTACCATGCAAATATTTTCTAATTATTTCCTCTTTGGTATCAGTCCTGTTGTTCACCTCTCCATGTCACTCTTTATGTCACAGACATGTAAATTAAAAAGGATTTTTCATCACTCCTACGTGGGCTGCTTTTCCTCTCTCTTGTCCTGGTCTGACACAGACGTGCACCTACAGACTCACACGCGCACATCCTCCACATCCGTCGGCCTCATCTCCTTGTCTCACACTCTCTCCTAACCAGGAAATTAACCTTGACATCTCCACAGCATAATTACCTCTTCAAAAAAAACAGTAAGCATAGCTGTACATAAACAAACGTGTCAAATATTCGTCCAGGGAGTCATACCTTATGGAGGGAGGCCTGTACCGTATATCAAAGCCAAAGGAACAACTGGGGAGGTTTTTTCCTCCCCCACCCCCCATCCACCATCTTAACACAGTCGTCTTCCAAGGATCAAGTTCCTGTGAGTTGCATTACTTTGCATGGGCCCCTTGTGATAGTCAATAGAAACCTGCTGCATGGATAAATGAACAGTCTGCCCCAGGAAGACTGCCAATGTGCCAATTTTTTATTGTTATTATGGTTGACTGGAAAAGTTAGCCACATCACCCTTTGATTATATTGTACTGTACTGCAGAATTAATACAAAAATACTATTTAAAAAACATTTTAACCAGTTACTTTTATTTACTACTAGAGATAAATACTACACTGCTATGTATTTCCCTCTTCGGAGACTGCGTCTGTTCTGCCATGCGTGTCATGCTCATATATAAATATGTGAACTTTGCAAATATATATCCACGCTTGCATGATCCCTTCATAATAGAAAGACAATCATGCGGACCAAAATGGCCAGTTTTAGTGTTTGGACGCTACAGTGAGACTACAGTAAGGTACAGAGGACAGGATCACCGGGAGGAGAAGGGACAAGGACATGAGAGAAGGGGACAGGAGAGAAGTGTGGGGGAGAGGCTGGGTAAAGTGCACGTGAAGGTAGCTACGGTATAATACCATCATGCACCTCCATTGCTCCTGGCCTCATTTTAGGGCAATGGAACTCAGGAGGAAAAGGCGCCAATGGCACATTATTCTGCCGTGGAAAATCACCCTCATGTTTTTATTCATGCAGGCGCCACAAACAACAACAGAATTTGATTTCCTGTGTAAATATTCTGGACCAATGCAGGCACGGAATGACTTCTGTGAAATGAATGATTTGTGAAAATGTGTGCATTAGAGATGGAATTCTATCTATCTATCTATCTATCTATCTATCTATCTATCTATCTATCTATCTATCTATCTATCTATCTATCCCTCCAATTCTACAACCACAAAAGTTGGTACACATTTGTGCATACCAAAATATGTGCAATTTGTGATTAATCACAGAACAGCTATAAATTAATCACACCATGATTATGAATCATGATAAATCAACATTCCTAAACATGATCTAAACCACTAATGCATTCATTTTGACAGCCAACCAAGCAAAAAAAAATCTTGAACATTTGTTGTTCAGGCAATGGAAAAAAAGAAAATTTAACTTAAATATATTTGTTCAACAAATGAAGAGAGTGATCCTTGTATCACACTCCAAAGAAGTTGAAGCATAGGATGAAAAAAACCTCCTGGGAGTTTCTTCAGTTAGAGTTTCAGAATGAAACTTGGTATAAAGAAGTGTCCTGACTCACTTATTTATATTGTGTTACATTGTAAAAAGTGTGTTGGAATCAGTAGAACGTTCTGTGCGTGGCGGCCAAAGGCAGAAACCACAACTGAATATGTACAACCTTCCAGCCCGTAGGCATTATTGCATTTAAAAACCGGCATGTTACCAAGACGACTATGGAGCGATGGGCTGGAAAGACCATTTTCACTTGAGTTTAGAGCAGCTCACGGGTACGACAGAAAAACGACCACAATGACTGTGTTATGCAAAATAGCTATAAAAACCCAGTTTTGACAGAAAAGCATTTGACAAAATTAACAACAATCTATATTACATTATGAAGAGCTGGCAGTGTGCATGTACATGAAGGTACCATTGATGCTTTCATGGACTTTCATCAGGACAACACCAGCCATTCTGTACACAGGACATGCAGTCCACATCTGTCTACTGACAAAAACATCTGGCCTGTCATGAAGAGGACAATCA